GTTAAACAAAAATCACCTTAATGTTAAGAGGTGAACAAAAATAAAAAAGTGATCTTTTTGAGTGGCTTTTATTTTGTGAAGTACGGTAATTAATATGCATTACTGCTGGCTATCCTTCCACGTAGTGGCTTCTTGATACACCATTGTGTGATTACCTTGGTCTGTGTAATTCACACCTTTGTACGGTCACATCAACATGTGTGACCCACCCTTTTTTGTAATCCCCTTACGCTCTGGGTACGTCTAACTCCGTTTCACTCTCCCCCATCAAAATTTTAAATACCCTGAATTTACATTTAATTGTCGCCTCATACGAGGCTCGCGTGGCTGAGGCACCGTAACGTCCTCAAGGACATCCTTAAATATATTCCGCTTAATGAGCTCGTGTCTATGACACGAAAAAAACACTCAGTTTAGCTGGTTCCGAGGGCGCCCGCGGTCAAAGCCCTTCTTCTTTTGCACCGGGTGCATCTCCGGACAGTACGTCCGCGGCTTCGGGGAGCACACCCCAACCCCTCGGCAACCGAGCGCAAATCACCACGCGCGCCACGGGCAACGGATTTCCTCGTCGAGGAACCGGAGGAAGTCGACTACGAGTCGGCCCAGCATGGTAAGACGAGGAGGATGAGGTGCTCTAACGGCGCGACGTGTGCCCAGGTCGAACCTTGCGGAGACCATGTCTGTTCCCCGACGTCTCGACTTCTGGGCCTTCCACTCTCCCTGGACGACTGGTTTCTTCGGGAAGTTTATTGCTAACAATCGCCTCGACGATGCACAGGTGCAGCAGTTGGAGGCTGCCCACTGGGCGGATCTCATGTGCTCGTGTCCACGTTCGGACCTGGACGCTCAAGTGGAATACGGCTTCCGCTCGGCGGATTCCGCTACTGAATTGAAAAACGCGATCACTCGATCGTTAAGCGTTTGCGTAGTCGGACCCTCGGTCACTGCACAAGCTGAGCTTGACCAGCGTAAAGCTCTCCGAGCTCGCGTTTTGTTACCGCAAGAAATCGAATGGATCGGTATGACGCTCGATTTTGAGCTCAAAGAAGAGGCGCTTCTGTAACCGCAATGAGGACTATTCTTGTGGTGCACGCCCCTGGCAAAACCGATGCAGATGATAAGGAGCTCATTGAGCGATGGACGAAAACTTTTCTCACCTTACGGCGAAGCCACAAGGAAGTGGACGTGCGCGTTGAGCGCCATCTTAGGTTTGAGTTTTCCAAACTAAAGGCGCAACGCGACTTCCTGCGTATTGTCGCATTGCGACACATGAAAGAACTCATCACGATCCAGCGAGCTCTGTGGTTTCTCGCACGGGTGAACCTACGACCACAACAGCTCAGGGTCATATTTTGAGCTCAACGCATGGTCCTCCGACTAACCGGGATACTGCTGAGAAGCGCGGGGCGCACGACGACGAGAAGCGTCATGAACCTTATGATCATAAGCGTCACCGACGTTGGGCAGTCTGTACTGAAGACCTGCGTCGCTAACGATGGCTTGAGACGACAGCGACGAGTACTTTGACGACTCGGTGCTAACGGCCTCTCATCTCAGCACACTTTGATAGGCGTTAGTCTCTCGACTGCCAACACAAACGGTATCAAGATGAACGGCCACCTCTTCATCGACCTCCTCACCATATCACGAGCTTGGCTTGGAATCCGATAGCTTGTTGCTCAACACAGACTTGACTGCCGCGGACCTTGCAGGAGCGATCCAGCACATGAAAGCATCGCCAGCACCATACATGGACGAATTGACCGCTAAATTTTATCAAGTGGCCCCCGACGTCTTTGGTGAGTGTTTTGCAATAGCCTTCAACGACTAGCTATGTCGTGGTAAGCTGCTCGCGTTCCAGCGCGAATCGGCTATCTTGCAGCTGCATAAGAAGGGTTTGCGCTCTGTGTCAGGCATAACGGCGATCGCCATCGTGCCCGTTGACGTGAAGACGCCGTCGAAGGCGCTAGTGTGTCGCATGACCACGACAGTTCGTGATTTGATCAATTCTGATCAGAAAAACTTAGCAAAGGGCCGCTCACCCACCACCAGAAGTGCTTTCACGCTGACTTACTCGATTTCGTCACAAGCTGCGACGAAGAGGCCTTCACGATGTTCCCGGACTTGCAGGAAGTGTTTGACTGCGCTAACAGAACGTATATGTTCTATCGTACCCTGGTATCAGGGGTGTGTGTCACACGAGATAGGCATGCTGTGACCCAACTCAAACAAGAATACGGTATGTGGCTAGGTAGCCGGTAGTTATGCATTTATTTATATTTTACTATATATTTTTTAGGAATACCTAAACATTTAAAATTTGGCGGCTTGCTGCAGATAAAAATAATTAGAAATCAGTTTGAGTTTAAACCGAAGAGTTTATTTGCCTTGGTTAAGGTACTCACTACTCTTAGAGGTAGCGGATTGCAATCCGCTACACTCGTATTGGTTCTTGTAAAGAGCGAAAGGTCGGTGATCTTAAATACGCTTCCTCAAGCGCTAAGCTACGGCGCCCCCCCCTGCAGCTAGAGCGTATGGCTTTGGACCCGGCTTCATTCGCTGGATCAAAATGCTGTACACGAAGCCGAAAGCACACTTGCTGATCAACAACAACGTCCAACCTGCGCTTCACCCAATACGAGGCGTGAAGCAAGATGATCAGCTGTCTGCGCTTCTCCTAGTCGTGACGATCGAGCCACTCAACAGCATGCTGCGAGAGGATGAAGAGCACGGGGTGTTTCTAAATGCAGGCCAAACGGCGACTGGGGCCTTTTTTGCAAACGTTCCGACGCTTTTTTCTAGCTCGATTCTGAAGATGCAAGCGCAACTCGACATCGTCAATGACTACTGTCCAGGTTTCGGCGCGAAACTGAACTTTTCCAAGCGTGGCGTACATTCTAAGGAACTATTTGCGGCAATCTTGCGTCGTGTTTATCGTACTTCGACGATAGCGTCTTGTCTGCTGCTAACAAACTTGGAGACTTGCTGTTGATCTAAGGAACTCTGGTCGAGATGAGTTCGGAACCTATATAGAAACTGGGCATGTACTTGCTTACCAAACGACTTTTGTGTCTCGAATTTTGATTATCAAGCAGATTGTAAGTTGTGGGGCACTAACAAGACTGACAGTAATTGCGTTGAATTTAATGACCAACCTATTGCTAAACCTTCAGTGATAAAGGGCATGCATTAGAGCTCCAAGCGTTCTTTAATTGACGTTAAGTTCAAAATTTATCAAGTTGCCATCTCCAAGATCAGCACGTAGTTACCCAATTGCATTGCAAATCGCTGATCACGGAAGCAGATCCATCCCAAGAGATTCGTTAGTCAATATTCTGAGTGATGACAACTGCAGCAAGCAAGGACGCCAAAAAATTGTTGAGAATCCGCCGACACGAAGCGTTGTGAAGGAGATCCATATCCCAAGTGCAATGATGTTTGTGTCGTTGTCACGTCCACATTTTTTCAAATAAAGGGAAATCACATCCACACACCTAAGTTTGGGCTCCATCTTCACCAGAGCCTCCTTAATCACATGTCCATTGAACAGTTTAAATTGCAGTGTTAGCCCGCGGGATTGCGCAACTGGAAAATGATTAGAATTTACAGCAGCGGCGGTATGTGCGGTCCAGACGGTGAGAGCCGAAAGAAGCGACTTGCAACATACAAGTGCACTTCCAATATTACCACTTGAAGCCGCAACTTACTAATTTCAACACAACAAAGTCTTAACTTTTCATGATGCTAAAATAATCTCTTCTTGTCACTAATAGCTAGCACTTTCAATCTCGCTCAATGATACTTTGGGCTAAATACTGGTGTAAACGTATCGCGGAGTAATTAAGGATCGCAACTTTCTCGCTTTGAGAATATGACGCACGTGTCATCTACTCGGGCAACAACATTCTCCTGAACTCCAATACTTACTCAGGAAAGCGATTGTGAGGTCCCCGTATGATTTCGAATACTTCCATGCGTGTCTTACACGTTTAGACAAGAGCTTATGATCAGAGAGGTTGACGGTATTCAAAGCTTCACATTCAGCCTTCTTAATCAACGAGTGGATTGTATCGCCCAGAATGGAGACCAATACACGCTGCGGGTGTCAATGTTATATTTAATCAGTGGACGACATTGGTGTATTAGTCGACTGGAGTTTATACACCTCGTCGGCCAGATTAATGAAGTTCTAATCTCTAATCTCCTAGATTCGTTTGAGACTTCTTGTCTGGATTTTTCTGCCTGTTTTCGGGTAATTTTATCAGCGCACCGTATCATTTTCGTTAGGATGGCTCCTTTTCAAGAGTAGGAACCATAGCCGCACCAAGTTCTTATTTCTGGGTCATCGTCACGGATTCAAGTGAAGCCAAACTACAGCTAAATACTGAAAAGGGAGGTGAAAAGCGCCGTGTAGTGTCTCTAATTCTTTCTATAGAGAGTGCTTGTTGGCGTCAAAAGCAATGCACGATTACTCAAGTGCAGCTGCATACAAAGGAGCTTCTCTTTGAGTGCGGACCTTGGTGTCGTAAATAAAACCACGCGGAATTTTTTGTAGTATCGATCTTTTAAAGTAGTTCTCGTTTCTGAGCTACAATGGCAAAGAACGTAAACTGGATAACCACCGTCGGGATCATCGATGATGATACTAACATTGTTAGTGAGACAAATCATAAATCATTTACAGTGCAGTGCAGCGTTCTTACGGCGCATCGTTCACGTGGACCTTCAAAACAATTGATGATAACTACTTCGGCTAGTTTGTGAATCACTTTCATTATGGCTTTCTCATGATGCAGGATCCTTTAGCGACTATTCAGATCACAACTGCTCTCGCTCGAAAAATGTAACGGTGTTACATGTACCCTGGTACGAACGGGTGAATCGCACAAGATGGTGTGACCATACAAGGGCGTGGGTGACACAAGATGGTGTAATCGCACAGTTGTGTGACCACACTTTAACAAGGATCCAGTACGTGGCTGGACTGCAGCTTTACCGAAAATAAACCAAGGAAATACAGTATACATTTTGAACGAAAGAATTATTTGCCTTAGGTTACGGTTGTGGTTCCTCTTGGAGTAAGCATATTGCGATCCGCCATACGCATACTGGTTCTAAGTATAGAACGAAGGTCGGTAACCTTAGCTTAGCTTCTTCCAAGCGAAAAAGCTACGGCAGCTCGCTGCAAAAGTAGCGGGCTACACTCAGCCTTTACATGAAAGTAGTCTTTTTGCCTTCTGTATGCATTGTGAGAATTAGTAATAGAAGATTACATAAGGTGTTTCCAGATGCATACGTGACTTCTTATATAAAGCAACAAACATTCTGTGTGATACAGAATGCTGGTTACTACTTTGGGATCTGCACTAGTGACGAGACCTACGTGTCTCTGCCTTTGGGACTGACTACCCATTTCTACTGGATACTTTTCACGAGAGTTGGAATTCAACTTCAAGGTTCAAGCTCCGTGCACACAAGATCTTGTATCAGTTTAGGTTTGTCCTCAGTGCACCCTTGATTTATAATCAGGCACCCAAGGTTTTATCAGTATAACTTCTAGAAGCCCTTTGGGTGTTTTGCACGTAGCTAGAAGCCATAACTCATTTTTCAGACCTTTAAGGTTTTTAGACATTTATCTTCCGTCCAAGTCGGAACTGTCCTTCTCCCTTTATTGCGGCAATCACTTTCTCGTCACACAAGCGTATGTGTTGTGTTTGAGTGACTTTTTGTAAACAGCGCTCTCTTACAAAAGACCGACTGACATGGCTGACTAGTGTGAGTCTTCTAGTCACTCACTAGTATCAAATAAATGGATGCTGTTGGGAATTGTCAGCGCAAACCTCGTTTCTACTACAATACACCCAGAAATTGCGTGCACAAATCGTGAAAACCGCTGGTGGATCTACTGAATGACACACGTTCCAGACCTGGTGGTCGCTTTTCGATTCATTGCTGGGGGGTTGGTAGAATGCTTTTTGAACTTGCCGGTTTGCTGCACGGTTTGGGCGTGTAGTTGACTTGCAAATAGCAAAACTTCCCCAATTGCACTGATTACAGGTAAACTTACGATGTAAAGTTTGGATGAATCAGCGCTAACACATTATCTACTTGTCAAAAAGCATATTGATCGCCAGGAAAATGATCACGCATTTTATTATCCTTATCATAGCTTCCTTCGAAACATCTAGAATTATGAAAATTGCGAAGTTCAGGATATCCGATTGTGATAACCACAACAAATTTCTTTTATAATATTATGGTTGATATCGATTTGGTAGTGCCAAGATTGACGAACACGGCCAACTTGCCAGCATCATTCTATGGGCTTACGATGGGCTAACACGGAGCATTGTGTATAACTACTGTATAACCTTCATCCTACTGGCTGTCTGAAAGCTCAAATACTGACGGACGTGCTGCGGTACTAGAAACGAGTATTACCTTATTTTGTTGCGTGACAGGGTGCGTCGTTTTGGTACCTTTGATTCCAAAGGGATGCGCTAACGACAGCCCGCTGATACTAAATTCAGACTCCCTTATACTAGAAGGAGGCAAAATTTATTCTGGACAAGCAGAACAAACTTCCCTCAAAAATATTTAGATGCATTTTTGTAATGTGAAAAATTGCTTGACCTCTCAAGTGTTGTCTTAAACACACAAAATTTTCGAGAAGTACGGACTCGCAGCTAGTCAACTAAATTTGGCGGTTTTGAACTGCTTGATCGCTATCCTATACTGACCACAACATGTTCGGTTACTAGCAGCCTTGACCTTTTTTGTTGTGAAGATCCCTTGATGCTCGGCTTGAACTTAGAGGATTTATTGACTGTTGGAATTAACTAGGGGTATTTAAAATCAAGAAACCGGTTACGGTGGCGCCGACAATTTTGCAATTTCATAACGCATTTCTAAAAATCTTCCGAATTGAAAATGGAGAAAACTGTGATTGTAAATTCCAACCGTAATTCGTGATGCCGGCACTCACAGTCATTCGCAGCGGTGGCAAGGGAGTAGAGCGTATAGAAATGCGCGGGTGTTGGCAGCCCGTCCCGCACCTTGAGCGATCTAATGGAAGCGACGAAATGAACGATGAGGAATTGCTAGACCAAGCCGAGGATATTTGGCGTAACATTGGCTCAAACTTTGAAGTCAACCAAAATCCCAGACTCTCGTCGAAGTTAAGTGGTGTGAAGGGTATGCATGCGTTACTTTGTGCTGGCTGTGGTACCTTGGTCGGCGACCGTGACGATATCATTTCAAAAGAATTTTTTGGCCGCTATGGCAAAGCTTTTCTTATGAATACCATGTGCGTTGATAACGAGGACTTGTCCGCATACTATGACTGATATCAAGTAACTTCTTGGTTAGGCTGAACGTTCGTATCTGCCCAGCTCGCAATCGATACTTAATGACGGGTATGCACTGCATTGCTGAAGTGTTATGCAGCCGGTGTGACAATGTGCTCGGCTGGAAATACGTAGGTGTTGGCTAGCGAGATCCCAATTACACGAAATAACTTTACTGTTTTGGTCGTGTAGCTCAAAGCCATGGAACCTTCCCAAAAATACAAAGAAGGTAAATTTATTATGGAGTACACTGCTGTTGACGATGAATCGGAAGAGCATATCTGGAATCGAGTTTGAGACAGAGTATGAGGTAGACTTGGGCGATGATTTCCTAACTTTGTGATTGAAACAAGACTTCACACTAGGAAAACCTGTTGCGTTTACAAAATTACCATCCTCACGCGTAAAAAAATATAAGCTTTGTTGTCCGCAGAAATCTTTCTCAAGATGTTTTTCATTGTTTGTCTGCTCGCGGAAATGCTTCCAGCTGTCTTCATCTACTGCCCTGGGGGGCCGCGCATGCCAGGAGGCGGCCCTGCTGGTCCACGCATCCCAGGTGGAGGCACACCTGGGGGAGGTCCCATTCCGGGAGGCAGGGCCATTCCTGGTATTGGCATTCCAATGCCTGGCATCGGTCGTGGGGGCGGCATTATTCCGCCAGTGGGTCCTGGAACAGCACGACCTCGTCCATACGCTTGTGGTTGAGCCATTGCCGCTACTGTTACGTCATAAGGAAGCACACAGACATTAGTACACAATATATCCTAACAAATTGAGCATGCAAGGACTGAGTGGGTCCAATTATTCGACGGTCACAGCAGTAGTATCCTGAGTTAGTGATCGCAGACTTTGGATCCAACCAGTCCCATATCGCTGTCTGCGCATTTTGTGCACATATCATACAAAACTAACAGGCGTACCTTGCCCGGGCTGCATCAATCCTGGTCCAAGGTGTCCAATACCACGCATAGGTGCCATCAGTCCAATAGGAGGACCACCCATAGGTGCTGCCGGGATTCCACGTCCCGCCGCACGCCCCATGCCAGGACCGCTTGGTCCGACAATTTCGTTTTCTTTGGCAAGAGGTGGACCCTCTACAGTAAGCGACACCACACTCTCGCCCCGCAAGAGAACCAAGCCTAAATGACGCTTTTCGACACGCTCTTCCGACACCGCCGCCTTGATTTTCGCCTTTAGCGTCCGAAATTCTTCGCAATCACCCAGTACCAAATTCATATGCTTGTCAAATGCCATGAAGTATCCAATGAGAACGCGCGAGTCTTGCAACGTCACCTTCATGCGGTAGTTGATGTAGTTTAGCATCTTACTGCTCTTCGTCATCACCATTTTGGCGCAGTATGTCGATGAAAATGACAAATGAAACCCGCTCAAAAGCATTATTCAGGCTGTTTCACACTTTAAAGCAGCCTCAAAATATTAATGAAGCCAATCGAATCTTTCCCAGCAGCAGGTGCCTGCGCTGAGCTGCTTCTAGCCGACATTAAAGACGAGCTATATCAGAGCGAGCTGAAGGACTTATTGCGCGAGGTACTGCAGCGCACCTGCGGCACTCGCTTTATATCGCAATTGCTACCAGAGCTGACGGCAGTCTCTTCCATATTATATTACGCGCTATCCATTGGGTGGCGACAGCCTAGCCAGACGTTAGGCGAAGAGTTCTGTGATATAATTCGCGTCACTAAGCAAGATTCTGGGACTGTAGTTCCCGTTTCGCATCGGCGTCATGCACTGTGGCTCGCATGCACTGTGTTACCCCCGTATTTGATAAAGCGATCCCAAATTGGCTGGAAAAGCTTGTGTCACCTCTCGCTCACGCCTAGAGAGCGCATGGAGCAGCAGATTCGTCTACAACAAGGGGTTGTTGTGGTAGAAGAGGATGCTGTGAGGGCATCACCTGCAGATGCTATCGTGGGGACGCAACCATCATCGGGAAGTCGAGTAGCTAGGCTAAAACCGCTACCACTGCTTCAATTTCTCGATCGTCTAGTATCAAAACTCAGGGCCGTGGGCACTTGGGTCGAGAATGATTTCTTTCCAGCGTCCTATAATGTTAGCTTGCGTTGCTTGCTGCAGTGGGGATTTCGCGCACATCTTGCGGTCTTCTTTGTGTTTGCACAGTACCTACATCTGGCCAAACGGATTACCAATATGCAATACATATTCGTGCGAAAGAAACTGACACAAAGTACAAACTTGTCCCTGCTAGGGTATCTGATAGCGCTACGGCTGCTAGCAACTACGATATTGGAAATGAAACGCATGCACAGGTGCATTATGCAGAACAAGAAGGTGTGCGAGAAAGTAGCGAGGACATCAGCTGGTAACCCGGCGACTTCAATTGCTCTCACACAGAGAGTTCCTTCATTGCTCTCTACCAAAAATGTATTCGATTGGACTTCTCGGCATCAACCAGAAGGAAATCGAGCTGGAAACAGGCAGGAACCCCTTCGCAAATGCTCCCTTTGTTTAGGTGAACGAAAAGTTCCTTCAGCCACACCATGTGGTCATGTCTTCTGCTGGGAATGCATTGTGGGCTGGTGTCAAAAGAATAAAGCAGAATGCCCGCTTTGTCGGCAAGAGAGTTACCCTCAACAGATTAAATGCGTTTATAATTATGCCTAACCTAGTTTCTCTTCTTGCCGTAGATTGTTCTTGCATTCATACACTCACGTCGCTATTTCGTTCCCATTCTTATAACTCAAAGCGTCCACTTATATGCGTCATGTCGTATCTTGTATCCTATCCGTTGGGACTAGCCAAAGGAAGTACACACTGCCGGTCAAAACCCATGTCGATCCCTGTTCCAGCCTGCTCTATAACATGTGACATCTATAGGCTACGAGTGCGATAGGATTGGAGTATGTGTGTGTTCAAAGCAGTATCAAGACAGAATATAGATTAGCTTTAGACATAGAATGGAATAAATTCTGTCATGCTGCAGATACCCTAGTGCCCACTTGTTTAGAGCTAAGCTTTGAAAGACATCCACAGACTTTCCGCCATTTATTTATATTTGTCGATGGCCATCTCTACTTTCCTCTATAGATGGAAAGATATTGGCCTATAGAAGCTTGAACCTGAACTGTGACAGTAATGCAGCCATCATTCACTCATTCAGTCGACGCCACTGTCTGTTTACGGCTTTACCAAACGTTTCTTTGTCTTGTATCGTGCGATAATGATGTATGACAGCACTTCTAACGGCTCCTAACGCATTTCGGCCTAGCTGTATTAAACTAAATAGGCTTTCGAGGTTTTAGGTAGAATTTTACGATTGCAACACTCAATGGGATAAATTAAAGGAGCTCATGTCTAAACGGCAAAAGGCTTAATCAAATTTGTTGCTTACGCTACGCCTGATTCTCTTTCCGACGTCTTAGAGCTTAGGATTACGGGGATAAAAAGCATAACAAACGGAGTCTGCTAGTGCATTCAAGTACATCGACATTCGAAGCAAGGTAAACGAATGGCGGACTGCACTCACACGGTTTACGGGAATGAACCGTGTTCATTCGCACCTAAGATATCGATAAACGGACAACCTGGTTTTCTGCCGAATTGTACTGGGGATCGATACCCCCAGTGTCCACTTGTTATAACAGCTCAGCTCAAAAAAGGAGACA